TTAAAACGGTCGAGGTTTTCGGGTTGCCGGGAAATTACGATTAATTCGATGTTTGTACAGTTCACGGCTTGAACGGCGTTTCGGGCAATAATTTTCTTTTTTTTCGCCTCCATTGTGCTCGTTTGCATTGAAATTCGGAGATGTTAAGCATCGACGAGGCGAATTCAATGGAAATGGTTGCAATTTGATTTTCCGTCAGTTTGCAATTTCATTTGATCGCGATACATCTCGATTTGCGCGAATAATGGCCCGATGATGGCGCCGGGCAGATTGTATCAATCACCAAAGGTATTGGGTACCGTTTGTTTGAATCAAACAATTGCTTGCCTGAATTTACTTGAGCTTCAAATATAATTACTTGCCTGAATGTCGCTCCGTTTTGTTGTAAATAAGTCTTAACCAACGAACGAATGGCTAACGCCTTGGGTTGCCCTACCCATCAACGCGAAACAAAATCCTAATGAACCTTTATTATTTTCCAAGTCCCAAAAATTTCTTGTAATTCAACATTTTCTCGTATTTACTTTTTTAATACTCAATCTTTTTTTATCAAGTTATCCTTCATTAATTTTTTCTCTCTCCTTTTTCCCTTTTTAGACTTCTTTACTTTTACTATCTGCTTTTTCTCATCGGTTATTTATTTATTTTTTTATTTTCTACTCATCTTCCTAATCTAACTCGACTTTATTTTGCTAATGCTCTAGTTTTAGGATGTATCATCATTGCTGTTAGTGTTTGCACATAATTCTCGTGGTATCCTTGTATCAAACCTAATCTTAAAACCACATGTTTCTATTTTGTGTATTTATCATTCTTCAAATTTTTTTCTTCTTTAACAGTAATTTTTTGTAAACACTAAATATATATATTTTTTTAACGTACACGTGTGATGTGCACTCGCTCGAAAATTTATATTGTCAACGCCAACGATACACGGCAGTATTTGGGTCATCTCGCGCACGATGTCATCAATTTATAATGAGAAAAGACCTGGTCCACGTTCCCGCATCAAGTGCACACAAACGAGAGGATTAACGAAACAGCATTCGGTAGCTATTGACGTCGACAGGAACTGAAGCATGTTAGGTGTCTGATACTTATTGCACCAAATGCGAGATCGTTATTTCGACACTTGCTTGATGTCCAAGTGTTACTCTTGACGCGGTGCTTTTTTATTTGTCAATGAAAATGTTAGAAATAGTAAAGCTCACAAATTAATTTGCTAGGTTTCAAGAGCCTTTAAAAAAATTGTTCTTGTTTTTGTCTCATTGTAAATAATTAAAATCTAATTATTCCACTTTCATAATTTTCATGTAATAATGACACTTTTTACCTATATGATTACGTACACACTTTTTTCTAACACTCGGCCCCGACAGCTTGTTCAAAAAACTGTAAAATATTGTTCCCGCTCAATAAAGATCAATAGCCCGGCGAAAACATAACAAAGTGAGCTTTACTCCTTTATTTCCGTATCGCCCACTCCCCAATGGTGTTTAAGCCATTCACCTCCGTTCGCACGCGCGTGGACACAGCAAATTGCTAATTTTCCGAAAATCCCTAGTTACACTTGATCCCTGGCCAACTTTACCCGAGTAATCCAGGCTCGCGTCACCGACGCGGCAAGCGAATCGTCCGTAATATCATACCGATGGTCGACCTTTGTATTATACGCGCACATTACGATTTACGCAAGCTCAATTTCAAAGTGCAGCCGAGCGCGCGTCAAGGGATTAACGATAGGCTTAAAATTGTTACCCATAGGGGCAATATGTAGGCTTAATTTTGCATGGTGAAATTTTCAAAGTGGCGTTTGTTGATTCTTAACTCTGTTTCATTTCAGGATCATCAGGGAAATCTCAATTCATCAAGTCTTTTTAAAAAATACTAGTTTACGTCAATTGAAAAGCCAACTAATTGCTCGAAATCGACACGGGCTTACAACAACCAAATCAACGTTTCGAGCACAAATTTGTTTGAGCTGATTTTCCAACGACGCACGTGGAGAGCCTTTTATGAGCGTTTTATTTATCTGGAAAAACATTTGATCGACTCTTTGATTTTAATGGATCATTCGAATCGTGCGTCAAACAGATGCAAATACAAACATATATGGTTCATTGTAAATCGATTTCCACTTGGCTTGCATTACAAATATCATGTAAACATCCTCTTTTGGCTAAAATCTGCCAGCCACTGTATGGTGTTGCTCGGTTTTGCAATTTCGCATGTTTATCGATTCTGATATTATAAAAAAAAAAAAAACATTTTAAAAATCAATGTTTGACAGGAGAATATTTGAGACAAACTCGATTTAATAATCCATACGCATTAATTAACCCGGAAATTAATAAAATGGTAAGTTTGCTGTGCGAGCGATATTTTGTTTCCTGATGGTTTCCAGTTAGCCCGTGTAACGACTAATTTTTCAGAGTACCACGGCAAGCCCTTTGGCCTATAGTTCTGTAACGTGTGGGCAACGAGAGTATCGTGTCACGAACAAGTTGGAAGTCAAAAGAATTTTTTAATAAAATGAGTTACGTAAAGCTTGCATTAAAATTTTGGTTAATTCGATCAACTAATGATCAGGTGAAATTCACGTGGTTAATGATGCTGAATAATTATTGAATACAACTGGAGAGTTATTATGAATCATAATTACGAAAAATGCTTATTAATTTTGTTGTAAAAAAGTTCCACTCATTAAAATATAAAAGCTGGGGTTAATAAAATTATACGTCCACGCAAATAAAGACGAAAGCTTTTTCCAATTACCAGAGTTCGCGTGGAAAATGAACGATTACAAAAAAAAGGGGAGGACCTTTTGGCTCGTAAAATTCCGTCAAAGAATAATTTCAAGCCCAAAGTCCGGCGATTCGTCCCTCGAGTGGTGGTGGACTGTAACTTTTATTTGCACGCCCGACTGAGGGCGCTTTTACTTTACAAACGAGACTAAATATGCAAACAAATCGAGTTTTGCGTAAACACCCACACACACGTACACGTACAAAAAAGCCCAATAGTCGGATTCGGAATGAAAGTTTCGTGCAATCGGAAAGAGCATTACGCGACGGAGTTTCTCTGGTCGAGTGAAAGCTACTTTGGGCTCCGGGCTCGCACTCATTGGGTAAAAAAAGGGCAAAAAAGACTTGTATTTTAATTTTAAGGTCCACAGGGGTATTGGCGAACAAGGTGATATTTCAAGTGGAAAGGATTAATTTAGAGCGAGAATGATTAATAGACGTTCGATGAAAAAAAGTACCTGTTTTCCGAAATTTATCACGTATTTATTACACGATATATCAACTGAATATTTTCGTGTTGGGAGATAAAGGTACTTGACTGTAATAATTGCTTCATTTTTTTGACATAATTAAAGGGAAAAAGGAGCAGCATAAATTCTGTGATACAAAGGTTTTAAAACTCATAATGAACCCTCATAAAATTCATTTTTGTGTGTACTGTTCTCTTTATTCGCGTTTCTTTTATCCTAGTCCTACTGCGAAATTGATAAAACAGTACATAATATAAATTAAAAAAATTCTTTTACATGGTACGCGATTTCTTGTTGAAAAGGATTTAGTGATTAGGAAAAAGACTTGTTGTTTCTCTGATATTTTTTATGTAATGAATAGATTAAATTTCAGAAATATAATATAAAAAATTAGATGGATGAACCGAAATCAGTGGTAGAGAATATAAGAATAAAGTTTTATGAAATTTATTAGGTATGTTTCTGATAAAATCATATATTGTTTAGTTGTATGACCGTTTATTACAACTAAAGTTCAACAGCTTACTATAAAATAGCAAGAATTGTCAATGGAAAATCGATTGTTTTTCACAATAGAGCCTATAAATAGTTCGGTCGATGATTAATTATTAAAAGTCCCACAGTTGGATTAATGAAAAAAAATTGGGTAAATGTTCTCTCTCCTTTGACACGAATATCAATTAGAGCATGTTATTAGGGTATATTAATTTTACATTTGAAACGGCATCGACGAGTCCGAGACGAGTCTACGTACTTGACCCAAGTTATTGTTAATGTAAAAAAAAAAAAAAAAGATATTTTACGTTAATCTACCAAACATACTTAATGGATTAATTTGCGTGTGCTTCTTAATTAAAAAAGTCATTTGTAGCACTCGATAACACTCGACGAAAGTGTTATCCAACTCTAAAATGACTCTTGTAATGAACAATGGAATGAATAATAATGAAATGATATATATTACAGCTTTTGTAGTAAGTACGAGCTTTACAATTATTTTCAAAATCTCATTGTTTTAATGATCGTTTGCGGATTACTTTCAAGTATACTTATTACATGAAAATTAGTTATGTAGGGCACGTAAAATATGAAAGGGATCAATCGTAAAATCAGAAAATATTTTGAAACATTTCAACTGATAATTATTCTTGGTAAAGTAGCTTATTTCGCATAATTTAACGATTTAAATAACCCCTCATTATTTTACGAAAATCTACTTGAGAAAAAAAAAAAAAAATCATCAATATCAATAATCAGATTGACCAAGCCAAAATACCATGTCGGCTACTCTCGTCGTGTTCCGAGGGTCAAAAAACCGAGCGTCTCACCCTTACGTAACCCGGATCACGTGTAGGGGTCGAGGCTCCCTCAGATGTACACGCACAAGTCGAACCAGGGAGGTAACGAACAATCACTCGGTAAGGGAGAGAGAGAGAGTCTTTTGTTGCGCGGATAATGGATAAACGCTCCTCGATCCTCGAGTCGATTGTTTCTGACGCCGCACGCGGTCCAGCAGAGACGTATTCCATTACAGCAACGCTTCACCCTTTCGGCTCTCTCTCTCCTTCTTCCACCCAGCTAGTTACTCCATTGTCCAACTTTTTTCCTCGAACCGTACGTACGAATTTGATGGGTACCATATACACAAAACACACTGTTTCCGCTTGCAATTGGATGGTAACACAAGACATTATACATAATTTTACAATTGATGTCGAAAGCTTACCTGATTCTTGCCCTTGAGGACGAGCACATTGGTGACGCGGCCAAAGGGCACGCCCAAGTGGACGACTTCGTTCTCGGACACGTCATTCGGGATGTTTCTGATGTGGATAACTCGTGAGGGTTTGACGTTCTGGGACTTGTCGAGCTTTGCCTGCAACAAAAACCACAAAAAGGCCAATGATGAAAAAACTCCACAGTATTAACAATAGAAAAAAACGCGCACGTGATAAACCCAATCAGGCGATGAGCTAAGCGGTGGGCACAAAAAAAGCACAAAGCTCGTTCCGGCGTATTAGACAACAGCGCGCGCGAGCGAAAGAGAGGCCGAGTCGGCTAAGGAAAAAAAAGTGCTCATCCGGTAAAGAGCGAGACTTCCTCGGAGGGGGGTGGGGCGGGGCACAATGGCTCATGTACATGCTCGCAAAAAGGAGAGACGAAAGAAGACCGAAAACTCTACGAAAATTGGGTGCTCAAACGACTCGCGCGCTCTTGCGTACATGCGGGACAACGAGGGAAAAAAAGAGGGGGCGCATTTAAATCGAAGCCCCGTAGTCGAGTGCACAGCCCGGGGCTAAGTTTTCAATCACGGCTCTATCCACCCGAGCCTCCTTCTTCGCTCCTCCGTTCGCGTGGGTCTCCCCCCCCCCCCTCTCTATGTTTGCTTTCTGCTTTTGCGATCCCCTGAAAACCAGCTACCCTCCTCCTTCGTCCACCTTTTGCTCCACCCATACAGCACGCGTACGTGGGAGGCCTACGGCTTATCCCTGTTGCGACGGTGGATGGGACTCGCTCGAAAAAAAAGCCTTGTTGAGGTTTAGTAGGTTTAACTGATCGGAAAACGCAATTCCTGCCGGGAGATAAGACCCCGGGAGGAAAAAATATGGGGGTTACTCGCTTTTTTCCCCGTCAGAGGAGATGGGAGGGTTAAGATGTCTTTTTCAGTTGTTTTTGTTTTTACTCGAGAGTGGAAAATTTATTTTTTAAAAGCTTTTCCATGGATGCGCAAATGTCGATCTAGATGAAAAGGGTTTTCGTCAAATTAAACGAATTAATTGGGACCGATGGAGATTTTCTATTTTCAGAGATCAACATGTAGAAACTTGGGGAGTGATTCACAACCTCTGCCTTACCCCATCTCGTTTGACGGTGAAAACTCGTTTTACATTTGCATTGAGGCTGTTGGATTATTAATCAATTTATAGAGAAAAAGTTTATGCCATATCACACTTGCTATATGGAATGGTGATGATTTTTAAGTATATCTATGACATAGCCCCCAATCGGATTGTTCCTTCGCATCAAATAACGCCAATGAAAGTAGACGAATGATTTCAACAAATTCGATTGAAGCACAATTGTGACGTGATCCTATTCGTCGGATTTAAACCCATTACAGTTGCTATACTTGCAATCAAATAAAAATTCGAGCCAACACCTGTTAAAATTATTTACAATTTAGTATTACTTAAATTTCGTTAAAATGACACAGTGTAGTCGTTTAAACCACCAACATATTACTTTTGCAATGAAAAACAATACCCAAACGCAGTTTTACCGACAAAATATTATCAACTCGATTTTCCAAAAAATACATCATTTTCCTGTACATAGCTGCACCGCAGCTCCGCTATTTTCCAAAAGTATCTTAATTAGATGAGCATTAATTCGAATAATCTACTGGAAAGACACTCCATTCGATTCACTCGAGAGCCAAAAACGAAACAACGTCCAAAAAAGAAATATCAACCACGCGTTTACGCCGTAAAATTTTGATGAAAACTCCCCGGTGTAAGATTAAATTTTATAGAGAGGAGGAGGCAGAGTACGGGGAAGGGGAGGATTTGAAAAATTCGTGAAACACTTTGGATGCCGCGCAAAGGGATTTTTGAAATTTTCAGCGCGTCCGTGCACGGAGGAAAAGCAGGGGAAATATTTCTCCTGTCCGCCTGAACAGGAATGCCGCGCTTGTACTGCGAATTCAAGCTAAAGCTTTTCTCGGACCAGATACCAAAATATGTGTGTGTGTTGAAAAAACAAATGCAACTATTGGTCTGAATCGAATTGTTTTACACATGTATATTGTCCAGAACTACCTACACAAGCATCGTTCGCAAAACCGAATCAAATTACGCGCCAAAACGAGCAAAACGAGCTTGCGGAGATTTTTCCATTTTCCTCGTGCAATTAGAACGACTATAGTAGCCTCGTAAAGACGCTCGCTCAAAGCTCGGAGATTCGGAAGATTAAAAATCTCTCAGTCGGCAGGAGGAGGAAGGAAAAAAAAGAGTAAAATAAAATGAGCGAAAAAAAAAGAGGATGGATTGCGCACACTCGAAGGAGCACCGGGAGGAAAGAAAGAATCAGCGCCCCGGTGAGCTTTCCGAGTGGAGCTTTGCTGTATATAAAGCAAGAGGGACCGAGTGAGCTAGAAAAACAAGAGAGACTAAGGTAGGGGGGTAGGAAAGCTCGTTGTTCGATTGGCCGCCATTGTCTCACGACGATTGGAAAGCTACGTGTGTACGTAGGGATAGAGGAAAGAGGTAAAGTGTGCCTTGATAAATCGCTCGTTGCGCGTAAAGTGGCGTTACCAGAGGTGCAGCAGCGAGAGATGGGCAAAGAAGGGAGAGGTGGTGGTGGTGTGCAGGGTGAAATGTAATCTTGCAGGGAAAAGTGGGCTCGCTTTCGTATGCACTTGGGAGAGTCTCTCTGGTTGTTTAGTTCACTGGATCTTTGATGTGGATGAATAAGACGAATCGGAGCTCTTGTGAATCGTGTTTTTTATTCATTCGCGAGGTGGAGCTTTTCGTTCAGTTTATGACTTTTCTACGCATGTTGTAGTGTTTTACAGATGAATAAGAGAAATTCGCACAGGATCGAGCAAGGAGCTATACACTCTTAAGGGAAGGAATCAAATTATTTCATTATATATTGGTTACCTTATAAAAAAGTATAGAAAAATTTTTTTTATTTTATTATTACGTCATGTTTCAAGCTTATGCAATATCATTACGATATTGATTTCAAAATCATTTATAACCCAAAAACAGTATGCAAAATATTCAAGTCATTTTACATACTTACTTGTAAGTCACATTATACATGGAGAGGACAAATGCTGGTATTTTTTTCATTATAGTTTTCACCAAAGAAGAAAAATTTTATTGAACCCTTAAAAATTAATGCATAACTTTTTAACTTTATCAAGTAACTTGTTAAGTACAATTGCCGATCAAACTTATTAGAATAACGCTCTTTAGAAATAAAGTTTAAAAACTTCCATTCCAGAATTTTACAAAGGTTTGAATTCAAATAAGCGACTCGATTGATTCCAATTGATTCCAAAAACGATTTCAAACAATACTACAGTATACATTTCATAAAAATGCCGTACGAATAAAAAAATCCAATAAAAGTATCCACAAATATCCGATCGGACGGTGTACACATCAGCTCCCGCGTCAATAAGTTAAAAAAAAAACGTGTCCATTATACAGACGCGCTTAATGATTTATGTTTCCGAGACGACGTCGCGTATAGAATTTTGGGCGAATAAATTGTAAGCCGCTACCGCTCGCTGCGGCCTACACTTTTTTTTTCCCCTATCGATCCATCACGCGCACTGGACTCATCAATCAAGTGACAGCCCAGCGACGGAGCGGCCAAGGTGGCGCTAAAGCGAGTCATGTTTCCCCGGCGTAGTGGTCATTGTTGTCGCGGGGGAGAGGACGCTCCTTCCCGGCGGTTTGAGGGTGGCGCGCAATAACAACGTCGTCGTCGACAGCTTGGCTAAAAGTCGAAAAGACGCGTATTCCACCTGCGAGACCTTTTTAATCCAGGGGGGAGGGCGAGGGAAAATCAAAAGGGAGATTTATGGGCGGGTGTGCTTTTGCAGGAGAATAGAAGAAGCCGCTCGCGATTTGGGACTGGCGAATGGAAAAATATGAATGAGATGCTTTCATCCATAGAAAAAGTTGGGAGATGGAGGTGACGAGTGTAGTCTTTGATTTTGCGTTTTTGGATGTCGACAAAAAAAGATGAGCTTGCGAGGAAAGCTATGAGCTTCGAGTGTAAAAGCTGTGCTTTTAATCTGCGAGTCACCTGTACCTTTCGTGCTATTTTTTCGATATCTTTCGTGATATTCGGAAATTAGTTAAATTTTAACGACAATCCTTTAATATTATATGGAAAAATGCTCAAGTAGAGAGAAAAAGAAAAGAAGGAGCGTGGGTAGTCGATCCAGCGCCAGGGTTGACAAAGTACCCGCGCGAGACCGCACGGAATGAGTGCCTCGTATCACACAAGCGACGAGGGAATGCCCGCACACGCATCTCATCCCTCGTCGTTCCGCGGCTCGTCTGCATTTTTACGAGCTTAGCATACGCAGCTTGAATTATTAGAAGGGAACGATCTTTTTTTTTTTCCCTTTCTGGACGCTCTCTTTTTTAGGAGTGAGGATGGAATATTTTCTCCGGGGTGGCTTCGTTAAGGACATTTTTATGAGCTGAGCTTGCGGAGGAGGGGGGTGTTGCCCGAGGTGTATTAGGACGAGGGACGACGAGATTTTTTTTTTTTTTCGAGAGGAGATACCTCGGCACTGGTAATTAGAAATTTAAGTGCGCATAGCCGTGCATGTTTTATACCAGAGCAAGGGAGGAAGGGTAGGAGGACGTGATGTTTTTTTTTTCGCAGAATTTTTTAAGGCTAATTTATGCCTTTGTGCATTTACGTTTGCAATATGTTGGGGTGGAAAATAAAAAATAAAGTTATGCGCTACTCAAAATGGAACGAAGGATGGTACATCATTTTGTATTCGCATACTTATTTTTGCAATGCAATTGCACGAGAGCTATTTTGAATAAAATGTTCATGAAACTAAACATTTCGAAACCTCAGTTTTTGGTATTAAGTACCGAAAATTAATAGTCCGAGGCCTAATATCCTCCTCTTTTAGCCTTTCGTTATTTTTGTTTACAAGTAAATACCGATTTTAGTAAAAACAGTACGAAATTTTACGTGGATCACAAACAACCCCGAAAATCATCAAGTGGAAAAGAAAAACCCCACCCCGCTGATGCGTACGTTTTTACCACCGGGAAATGATTTTAATCTCGACGAGGAGGAAGAGAGAGCGCACTGTGTCAACACTGGGAA